ACGAATCGAAGGATGTAGAGACGCCGGAACGGGACGTCGGGGCGGATTCCATCCGAGGAGAGCGCGGGATTCGTAAAATGTACGCCATTTTTAGCTCTCTCACTTTCTTTCTCTCTCTTTCTCTCAATGCGCTGTCTTGTTTCGTTGCACACACAACTGTCGACTGCGTCACCGCATTTTCGGGGACCTTCGACGATATCATCCCCTCTTTAGCGATATCGCGATTATATACTCGCACAGCGAGTAATCGATGATTAAGCTTGATTGTCTCCGTTTCACCGAACCGATTCAAACCGAAAAGTAAAAATGAAGATCGACATTTGAGAAGGATTTAGGTTTGCGCAAAAAGACGAAAAAATTCCCCAGCCGGAGCAGATTTCTAAAAGACCTCTTAAAGACGTTCGAAATATACCTACAAGAAGATAGAATGTTTTTTAGACGTCTTTGATTTTTCATTTTCTTCTAGTTAACTTCCCAAACAATGTCCGAAATCGGGACATAAGACGTCTAAAAGAAAGAAAAATTAACCCTTATCGGTCGTAAGTCACCTCTCACGTGACAACAATACTTCGTCGCTGCAGTCGTACGTCACATAGGAGGTGACAAGTTCGCATATTTACCGAAACCAGCTACAATCCAGTGAGAATCACGCATAAAAAGCTAGCGTCCGATAAGGGTTAATACGATGAAAAATATTAATATTTAAGCATTAGATCATCCGTACTTATTTCTCATGGTCTATAACTTTTTTCTTTACCGGTCCTTAGAAATTTGTTCTGCCTGGATCAGCAGAAACACGACCGACCAATCACGATCGAGAATTGACTTATATAGGCTATCGGTTTGAATTTCTCAACTATGATTGGCCGATTGAGTTACTGTTCGCGCTTTCCCGCGCTTGCCGTGTCAGTCTTGTTACCGCGATAGCTCCGACCGTCTTTCGTTCGGTCGTGTGCGACCGTGCACCGATAATGGCGCGAGTCCTTGCCGCAGCCTTGCGTTTTTACCTCGAGGCTGAACGCTATGTAAATACACGCACGCAGTGCGCCGTAACTCCTTCGCGAGGTGCACCGATAACCCCTTCCCACCGGATAGCGAGCGTTAGCTGCTTACCGGGACATCGCATTCAAGGTGGGTGCTTTCAGCGACGGTTCCTTCTCGTTTATTTCTCAGTAAACGGACGAAATGTGTACGGTGTGTCATCGTCATGTATGAAACAATCGCTTCTGCGGATAACCTCGCGCGCTATGAAGGCATCGCCAAGCGAAGGGGAAAGTTTGAGTAAGCAAAAACGACTGATTGTCAAGTAAATTTTCATATTTACTATATCCACACACCTGGATATTTAAGAGCACAATTGAGCACACGTACGAGATATATATTCCCAAGCGGAACAAATTTCTAGAAGACTTCTCGGAGACGTCTGAAACACAAATCAGACGTCTTTACCCACATCTTTTGGAAATTTGTTCCGCCTAAGTTTGTGAATTTAATCATGACACTCTCTACATGTGAATAACACTAATGGGAACTCGATAAGAAACCGACGAATACTCTCTGCTGACATTCTATCGAGAGGGAGTGCTGCGATAGAATCGATTTCGCTCCCTTTCTCCACGTCGTCCCTGCCTTAAATCGGGCCGAATTGTTAAGACGAACGAGCGAGAAATTGTGGATCGCCTTGGCTCCCCGAGTTCCTGTTCCTCCTTCTTCAAGGCTCCTCGCCGAAGTCAACGCTCCTCATCCGTCTCCTTTATTCATTTGATTCCTTCGGTTCACAATTGATATGCAGAATGGAAGGCTGAATGAAAACTGTTCCTGGATCGAGAGAAATTTTGTCTTATTAGTCACAAGAGAAATAGAAGCGAGTAAATCTTGCATCCATGAGATAAGAATAAGCATGGGTCTTCCTGATTTTAAGGCAGAGTTATTAGCCAGCCTTCCTCGACTCTTATTATTTGTTTTTCCATTCTTTTCGGCGCACGTAGGGACAATGATTCCTGTCTCGGCTGCAATTCTTTACCTGTGTCCCTCGTGTCATGTTGACGAATCATGCGGTCTGTGTCACGTTTCTCTAACGGGTGTTGGACTGCTTTCAGGTCAGCGTGAGCAATCGTCACCTGGAATCATAGAGGGTCACCTCGCGGGGCTGTGTGCGTCAGTATGCTCCTACGTCCTCCGGATTGAGCTTCCTGGTACGTGAGTCAGGATCGCCGGAACGAACTGGCCGGCCTCGAGGATGAACGGCAAGATATCGGCGGCTGGCCACGACGCCGCGACACAGTCAACAGCGAACCATCGTGCCGCAAGAGCGTCGCCCATCAAGAGACCGCTGTCGCCAGGTAAGTGACACGCAGACACTTGTCAAACTTTTGGTTTCTCATCTGTTATTCGAAACTAGCTCGGAATTATATTGCAATCGAAAGTAGGTATGTGAAAGTGTGTCGTTATCGGCAGTATGTCAGGAAGAAGACTGTCCGACTGGGATTGATAAAATAAATACATAAAATAAATTTAAATAAATACTTAAAATATATATTTATATATGCGTAATAAATAAAAATAAATGTATAAAATAAATATATTAAAATAAATATGTATATAAAATGAATTTTTTTCAACGGAGCTTAATTTTCAAGGAAGTGGATTAAAATCAGGAAATTAATATAATTTAATTAAAACTGTAAGTATAAAATTAAATTGTTACTTCAAGTTAAATATATATATTGTTTTATCTTCCTCATTTGTTGTACGAGAATGTTCACTTTAATCGTTGCTGATATATATAAAAAATGAAAAAGTAGTTATTAACAAACGGGGGTTAATACTTTGTTAGTTTTTTTTTATCGCAATGATTATTCAAAATATTTCTCAACCGAACGTAAAGAACAGGAAATAATATCACTTTGAAAGATGAAGTCGTGATATTTCGAAAGTAAGTATTTACGTCCTCTTCCGCGATTGATTGTCAATCGTATGACTCAGAGCCATGATCGAGCCTGTGACAAGTTTTGTCTCGACAGCTTGACATTTAACGGTTAAATATATTTACAGAAAAATGGGTGATTCAGAGCACATAAAAATGAGAGATCCGATAGAAGATAAATTCAGCGTAAGGTCACGTGGTACGCCCAAAACGATAAATTAAATATTTATATTACCTATGAGCCCAACAGGTATCCCTCGAATTCGGTATTAACACGCGAATTCCTTCTTGAGATCTCAATAATACATTGAAACTTAGAAAACATTAGGTAGAGTGTGTATAGCAATATTTGACAATATTCTCTGCGTTAAAATTTGGCCAAGGTAACGTTCTTTCTGTACGTTAAAAAAAATATCAATAACACTGAAGGCGATGTTATTCTTTTCTTTGAGGTTTAAGATATTTAAACGTCTGACGGTTAGAAAGTATTGAGTAACGCGAGTTGATGTACGAAATATGCGAATGTGGCATATTCGCCGGCTCGAAGGAAATATCGCTGTGCAATGACATCGGGGCGGCTATTAAGGAAAAAAAAAACGCCGCCGTGGCGTGATTTCGCGCAAAGTTTTGCAATCCGCTTACTGGAGCAATGATACACACACATTTATGCGATGACACTCGACGATGACGCACCGTCGTCCACGTCAGGTGATTGCACACAGTCCACTTAAACAAAGGATATTTCACCTTCGTTTTCGCAGAGGCCACTGGCATCACCGAGAGATCACCGAAACGCGCCGCTGTTCCGGAGCTGAAATCGTCCTCGAACGGAATTTCCGGCCGATTGTCAAGCAGCGAACGTGCCAGCGAGATGCCAGCCCTGACGAGAGTTTGTTCCCCTGCGACATTACCGAGGCTCAAAAGATTCCGTTTCCGACCAATCGATGGTGAGTCGAGCTCTTGTTGAATCCATCGCGCACAAAATTATATCTCAGATAAGTTATTAATTTATAATTATCAATCTTCGTATCCCCTCGATTATGTGCGTTCGCTATTTTCAGACTTTTTGCTTCTCGCTTATCTCCCCTCTCTTAGTTCATTTCTCTTATCGTCTTCTGAGAGATATTTTAAAATATCAGCAACCTTGAATTTCTTCTCTCGCAAAGATCGCAAGATCGCATCCTGAAAATATTCACCACATCTTTGTGGCGTGTTCTATTTTGGAATTTTACTGACCGACAAAAGTGACATTTAATTAACTTGGAGTTGCAACATAGCGGAAACTTCATGGAGGATTTAGGTGCGCGCGCGAGCGAACATTATTTCGAAGCTATCACCTTATCGCTAATTGCGAGTCACTCTATATAGCGCGCGTATCTTGTACATCGTACTTGAACGAAGCGTATTTTATCAGGTATCGTGACGTCTGACGATAGTATGTACAAAGACGCGTTATCAACAGCAGCAGCGAATGTTACGTGTTACTATAAGCTGCCGTATCCGCCATTATTCTGAGCAAATAGCAAACCCTCGCCGAAACTCAACGCCTCGGAAAAGTCGAGAGAAATCGGTTAACCTTTCCCCTCCAGTGTTATTTAAACAAGTCCTCACGAACATAAATTCAAATCGGCCAATCGGAGCCCTGCGTTTATGAAATTCGCCAAAAAGAAAAATCGATTGGCCCAGAGTGAGACGTGGAAAACTGAGAGAAGCTACAGAAAAGACAATCGCACTTGCCGAGGAATCTAAACGGAATGAAAGTTGTTTAATTTTTTTTTTGCAGTTTTTTGTCTCGAAACGTACAATAGAAGCGGCTTGAAGGAAAATCCGACCGAACGAAAGCAACAGAAGACAGTCTGGTTTATTTTCTCGCCACTGACGTCATAATTTGAGACAGCTGATATAATTATCGGTGATTCTTAATCGTCCGTTACACATCGTCGCACACGCGTCGCTGGCATCAACATTAATTAACATCAATTTCGCGCTCTTCGCTCCCCGATTTCGTACATTTTGGGTCCTTGAATCTCATCGCCGAGGCGCGAGGCCTTGGGGCCGTGTAATTTTCGTATTATCAGTTTTTTTTTTTTTTTTTATATCTTCGGGGCTGCGCTGGGCGGGTTTTTCTTGTCTGTAGATGGATCTTTGGATCGCCTCGAGTGCATTATCTATAAACGATGCGCGAATGTGCGTAGTCGATCGCGCACGCACCTCGACATGGCACAGACGACGTCGCACAGAGAGAGAGTGTGTGTGTGTGTTGGTTGCGCGAGAGAAAGATACATGTATGTAAAAACAAACAGGAAAATGTCCCGAGAGACGTCGACGCGTTGTTACCTCCGCACAAGTAGCTCGTAATGCCGAATCGCTTTAAACGAGCGAAGGCGAATTACGGCGAGGGATCCCGTTCGCACACACGGGAGAAATAGGAGAAAGTAGACGAAGAATTCGCACGGCCGCAGCCATCGGTGGGTGCATCGATCGATCGGGACAGTTGTGAGCGGTAAACTGGAACCTTCCGCGTACGAGGACACCGCGCGCGAATATGTTTATCGCTCGTTCGACCCGACTGATGCCCGTGTGTGTGATGTCAGACTCTATCTTTGGTACACGGAGTAGATGACCACGCGCGAACGTTGCCGCGGTGCGCGTGCACTTGCGCCTCTCCGGGGGTTGTCGAGCGGACGGATTGATGGATGGTCGCGTTTGGTTTTTCGCGTTCCGCGGATTGCCTCGGGTCCTTGAATTTCCCCTTGAACCCCGTCTTCTGTGATCTCCCTGGCCCTGGTTACACGGTGAAAAAAATTAATCTTATAAATCAGTGATAGATATTCTCATATACAGGGTGGCACAAAGTCTGGATACAATTCAGTATCTCGTAAACGATGCAATTTTGAGAGAAACGTTTTGGATAAAAGTTGAAGGGTTTAAAAAGATCTATTCACTAATCCTTATCAGCTTGACCTTGGATGGAGGCATCAAGGCCAAGTAAAGGTCAGTTTTTTTTTTTCTTTTTTTAATGGAATCGTATAGTTTTCTTAACCCAAATAAATTTCTCTGTCCATTCGGCGTATAAAAGTATCAGAGTAAGATCATCGAAAAGTGAATATTTTTCGACATATTTTATATTCCTGTGTTTTTCAGTTCAAAATATGAAATATCTCATAAAGTATTTACTTTTTAATAACATAACCTAAACTTAATGGCATTGTGGAACCTCGTGTTCTCGAGGACGTCATTTCAGGCGACATGACTCGCAGTTTTGGATCGTTGAATTTTCAAGCTCTCAGATCCAAATTCAAGGCGAAACTTCTTGTTTTTGTATCTTTAGAAATCCCGTCTTGGGGCTTGGCAAATGTGGATGTTCACGTCTCCCCATCTAATCGCTTTGCGAATCACTGCATTCGCAAGATACCGAATCTTCGGAGCCGTTCAATCTGCAGAATGTGTAAATAACAAGATACCCGAAAGTTACATCACGGACAAATAAAGGTTCCCTCGTCCGGAGTGGTTTTTGCAAGCGAGCATCGCGTAAGCGTCGAAGAATAGACGATCACATTTTCAAAAACAGTTCTTGTGCGTGAGCGCATCGTCAATGCCATCATAATGCCGACAATCTTATCTCCCCCTCCGAGATTAATAGAGGAATGTGAAGAAGTGCATCGATTAATTTACTGTAAAAAAGGCAGGGAGATCGAACTTCCCTACGGATCGTATTGAACTCGCACCCTCGCCAGAAGAAGGCAGTCGTCGAATCCTGCCGCACGCTTGTCGCGAGTCTCTCACCGTTGAACCAGAAATAATTTAAATTTAAAACTGTTAGAAAAAAATAAAATTCGCCTCATCTCACCTGAGGAAACAACACGCATGTGTCAATCGTGCTCCCGGCTCTTCTTTTATCAGCTTGAACACACAACATGTGAAAAACGTTGTCCCGTGTGACGAAATTATCGCACGTACCGAAATAAAGCGGTTGATTAACGCCAGAGAAGCGCTACGCGCGGCTAGATTGGCCCGAAATAATTGACGGATAATTAATCCGGGGCTTTTCCGAGCGCCCCCGACGACGGGAGATCCCCGGGAAGTCGAGGTGCACAGTACAGTGCCTTCCTGAAGCCTCGTTTGAGCCGCAAAAGAGAGAGAGAGAGAGAGAGAGAGAGAGAGGAAACCGTCAAAGGTCGACGTAATACTATGTGTGATAAAAAACAGGCGGCAATATCGATATTAATACGCCGAGATACGCTGACGATAATATCGATCACACGGAAGTCCCTTTACGTCTCATTGCTATAGTTCTCACGCGATCTCAGCGGTGCTATTAATATTCAAAGTACCGAGACCGCGAGACATCGATCGCGCGCACCGGCGAGGAACTCCTCGCGGTACGGCAGTGTCGCGGCGCGAATGTATCCCGAGACACCGGGTACGACTGTACAAGTGTATACACAATACCAGCGCGCGTGCACGTAGAGCGCAAAAGTGTGCTCGCGGCCGTCGCGATGAGTCATCGCGCGCGCGTTGCACGCACGATGGCGCAGAACTTCTTCTTTTCTCTCTCTTTATCTCTCTCTCTCTCTCTTTCTCTCTTTTTTTCTTTCGGGATCACCGATAGATAGCCGATGTTGCGTGCGGAACTCGAGTGGATCTAAGAATCGGGGGAAGGCGGGGGAGGGGGGGGAGGCGAATACGACAATTCCGAGTTCGGGAATTTCGATCGGAGAACGCGTTGCGTTTTCGAAAAAGCGTCTGACGAGGATCCGAATGTCTTTTGAATCCAAAACTGCGAGTCATTTCGCCCGAAATGACGTCTTCAAGGAGATCCTGGTGTCGCAATTGGCTGAATTAAAAATCCTTTTACATATATATACGTTAATGTAGGCGAGGATGGTTGACTTTATTCGAAAAAAAAAAAACAGATTAAAATTTTTTTAGTTTTCCGAATAAAATCAACCGTCCTCACCTACATTAACACGTGTGATTATAATTATGCAAAAAGATTTTTAATTCTGTGCAGCGTCGAGCATAGTACTAACAAATTTGCGATAAAACAGGATGACTCCAGGATCTTCTTAAGAACAAAAGATTCCGCAAAATTAAATTTATTTATTTATTAATTTCTTTATTTTATTTATATATTTATTTACTTATTTAAACGAGAAATGCTCTTTGATCTGCAAAAGAGAAAAACGTGCATAAGGAAAATACATAAAAATATTAACGAAAAACTTTAATATAATAATGATAAATAAATAGCCGCAATATATAAAAAAAATTTTTTCAAACGAGATCTCGGGATTCACCTATCCGTGAATTTTAGGACTTTATAAACGTACGATCACAACAGTTGAGCGATCGACTTTTGAAGGATAGGCGTGATTAGCAGATTTAAAAATATATAGCAATCACAGATGATTGTCACCCAACGCTCGTGCGACCGCAACTTCGCTGGACGCAACTAGTTGCCGCGCTCGGCAGAACGTTTATTTCCTAACCGTCGGAAATTTTCCGTGCCAAGATTGGACTATTCCTCTAGATGTGAAAGAAAAATCCAATCTCAGCTCAGAAAACCTCAGTCGCGAAATAAATGTCCCGCTGATAAACGCGGCCGTTGTCGAGAATCAACAACGCGGAGCGTGCATAAATTTTTTTCCCCCGAGAAGACGAAAACTGCAGTGAGAAATGTTGTTGGAGAATCGTGGGATCCTCAGGAAAACGACGATCGAGGCGCCGTCGTCCGATTTAAAAAGCGAGTGGAGGCGAGCAGCAACGTGCATTCCAGTGTGCGCTAAGCTTCGGTATGAGGGGTTAAATTACGCTCCTGCGCGCGACCCCCTTCACCCCCGCGGCGACCGTCCTCGCCGCCAGCAACGGCGGCGGCGTTCTCCACTCTCCTCCAATGTTCTCCACTCTCCTCGTCGCCGGCGAATTCGTCGTCATCGTCGTCGCCGCGTATCGCGCCGCTCGGCAGCGGGCTTCCTCAGTCTTCGCTCGCCGGCCGTTGCCAGTGGATCCGTCGATCGCGCTCGATTCGCAGGCTCGCGCCGCCCGTGTCCGTACACCTCGCGCACTCCGTCGCCGATCCCGTGGGCAGCATGTTGACCCGACGCGAGCATCGCGGGGTCCCCAGGACTCGCGCGACCGCGCTCTCCTGAGACCCGTGACGTCACTCCAGCGGCCTGACCCGCTCCGTCCTTCTCTCTCTCTCCCTCTCTCTCTCACCCTCTTCCTCCGTCGGCTCCTCGGTCTCCCCGTCAGCCTGAATTTGTGTCTCGCTACGGCGGAAGTGTGCGTAACACAGTTTGGATACCCTCGGTTCCTGGGTTCCTCGGTTCTCCCGCGAATGTGTAAGCCGAGAACTGGGACGCTCGGATTGCCGTCGGATTCCCAGAAACCTCGAGCTCCTCGCTTCCCGGACATGTAGATGCAAGGTGTGTAATCGGGAGCTCCTGGGCTCCTCCTCGGGTTTCCACGGGTTCCCCCTTCTGGACTGGGCTGGACTGGGGGACGCGAAAGGTACGCCAGGTGTCCCGGCGGGACGTCAAGCGTACCCTCGGACGCTCGGTCCCTTGGATTGTGATGCCGGAATTTCGCAATTCGTCGTACACACACATAGTTACACACGCACGCGAGTTTATGCCTTCGAATTCGTAGAACCTTGTAGGGCGCCGTCGTAAGTCGAAAACATTGTTGTGACACACCTGGATCGCTCGATCTCTCAGCGTCCTCTCGTGCTTTCACGTAGGTGTCCGATTAAATACGGAGCGCACGTATATCTTCGAGCTTCCGCTGATCTCTCCGCGGATGTGGCGCGAAATCTTACTAGTGCGGACGCGCGCGTGTCCCCCAATTTTAGATCCTTGGGCACGCGTAAGTGGAAAATTGTGATGACTGATTGGCTTCTTAGATCCTTAAGTCTTCTGGACCTCGAACTTCACGTGAACACACGCCAATAAAGAGGAATGAACGAACTTTTCGATCAAGAGTTGATGCTTTATCCTTTGTTATTAGGAATTAAGACTAACCGTAGTCTATTACATTATTCGCATTACTCACATTATTCACACGTCATAGATGAAAATATTACACGGGAATGAAAAAGTAGCTTCTACAGCGAAAAATTAGCTGTCCATGTGATACAACTGAAATCTAGTCAATTCATTCTTTTTGATCCTATACCTAAAAATATATATAAATAATACTTAAATATATTTAAATATAAAACTAGCTCCCCTAGCTAAAAACTAGGTCTGATAACTAAATTTCAGATGTATTATATAGGCAATACATTCCTTTTTTCCGTGTAGTTACAAAGAAACTATAATCATTCGCATCGGCTAAGCCGAAACTATTCTTTACTTTAATAGATGTCGCCAAACATTTATTTTTTGGATACCGGAAAAAGCGAGATCATAAATACTACATTCTTAAGAGCCTGTGCTTGTTTACACGACGACAGTGTGAACAAAATAAACAGGTTGAGACGCACAGCGTTCTTTTATATATTTCACACTAAGCGAGAAGACCGCGTTGTATCCTTAGATCTTCGGATTCCGACGGCTGCTGAAATTTGTGCGTCTCGTGACAGCCCATTATGTAATTTGCCGCCGTTGCTGTATCATCGAGATTAATCGAGACCATAAAATTATGTTTGAAGATTAAGAAGCGAGATGAGAGAGAAAGAGAGAGAGAGAGAGAGAGAGAGCGCGAAGATCCCCGACAGATTAATTCGGAGAAATTATCGTTCTTTTCGAGTGAATGGGGCGAACGCAGAGCGACGTATCCCGTAAGATGGCAGGTGTACATGGCAGGCGCTACACCTGTCCGCAGGCTGAATGGTCAGGTTGCGAGTAGCGATAGTCCCAAACAAATATCCTCGTCCACATTTTCGCCGGCGATGAATCGCTTCGTTTGCACCGCGGAGGATCGTCGACGAGTTCCTTGACAAACGTACGCGGAGCTCCGGCTCTCTTCCGCGACGAAAGCGTGCCATTATTCCCCGTGATTCGTCGATCTCTGCCATTCGACGGCGCGAAAGTGAAGGTTCCGAATCAACACACGCATCCTCCCGCTCCGCGCGCGAAGTGCGCCCTCGACTTAAATACCGCGCGAGACGAAATATATCGATACCGAAAGACGCTTTTACAGCTCGATGTTAGTATTAGTGTGAAGCTCGCCTGAGTTTCCCCGCCGGGAATGTCGACGGTGGAAACGTTTCGGCGCTCTTCTATTATTACCGGATAATCGCGTAGACAACGCGTCTAAAAATGAACGTCGCGATATTTGGAATCCTTGGACCGCCGCCACGTGTTGATTTTCGTCCGAATTAACATTTCCGTCCGTTGAACGGCCGCGAATGAAATGTGCTCTCCTCTTCGGGCCGACTTTCTCGCGCCAGGCCGGCGATGACGGCCTGGCGAACGTGTTTGCGAGAAATATCGATAGGTGTGTGTTGCGAGGGTATCGGGCCCATCGCTAGTCGCGGGGTCCCACTTGCCGCTCGAAGCGTCGAATTCCATAGCGTTTACTCATTCGAAAGAACGAACTCGAAGACTTCTCGGGGCCGGAGAGAAACTTCGATGGCGGAAGAAAAGTGGGAGAGCGGCCGGGCGAGAGAAAAGGAGAGAGAGAGAGAGAGAGAGAGAGAGAGAGTGTAAGTAACCGATGGTTTCCCGTTTAATCGGCCGTCGATTTCAAACGAGAGAGTATCACTCGGCTTGATCCAATTTAAACGGCTCTTCAAGACCGAACGGGCGCCGAATACGATGGAATACGGAAGCGCATCAGATCGCCGTATCGCATATCACTTATCTAGCGTTAATAAACGCGCCTGTTGAGTTTCTCTCTAACGCGAAGATTACATGCAACGATGAACGATACGAAGGCGGGAATTAAATATTTGCATTTAACGCTTGCAAACATGTCGCGAGACTCTTCGCATCGCTCCAAGGGTCATGAGCTATGGCGCTGCCTGAGAAGTCTGGATTCGAGGAACTCGACAATGTTTCGCCGAGTTGATGGTTCAAAGGTCCAGGCTCTTTTAAATTTCCACGACGCGGCGTGTATTTCGGATTCAAAAGGTTTATGTGTTCGAGATGTTTTTCAGTATTTTAAGAAAGCATCGGGGAATGTACAAAGAGAGAGAGAGAGAGAGAGACAGGATGGCAGAAATCTAAAAATCTCACTCCAAGGATCCGGGAGGGGGGAATAGACGAGCTGACACGGATAAAGAATATATATACACGGTGTTATTTATAAAAACAAATGAACCGCGCACGGCTAGCGAATCCCGGGTGTATCACGTAATTTCTAAGTTAGTACATCGTCGCTTACAACAGATCTTTCGTAACGCGCGGGACATTGGTCGCCGTCCAACTGCCAAATTAGAATTGTAATCGGCTGAGAGAGCAGCGTAACACACCAGGATAATCCATGAAAGAGAGAAGAGCACGGTGCAAAAAAGACATCAGATTATGAATTGACTCGCCGGTGCGTCAGCAGGAGGAGAGAGATTCCCTCGAGTCCGCTAATGTGCGCCCAATGTGTAATGATTTCAGCGCCGAGCCCAGGACCGTGTCACGACGCGAGCATCCCCGACGTGAATTCCAATCATCACCATCCGGCACGCAGCAACCAGAACGAGCAGCATCGGCTTCAAGACCGAAATTCGCCGTCCTCCTCGATGTCTACTCTACTATGCTGCGAGCCAGTGTCAGCTGGCCGGCCGCGGGCCAATCTCAAGCTCGTGCTGAATCGCAGCTTAAGCGAGCCAGGACCCTGCAGCTTCCCTGCCTCCCCCACCGTCTCGCCGATCGCCAGTATCGTTAACGGCAATCCCGCCGACACGCCCGACGTCATCGACGAGGAGACAGACGGCATCGGTATCGACGACGACGTCGCTCACCGTCGTTACCACCACCTCCACTATCACCATCATCATCATCACCACCATCATCATCACCATCAGCACCATCATCATCTCCTCTCGGCCACCACGAAGCGCTGCAAACTGGAGACCGTCAGTTTGCCAACCAGCCCGTGCGCGGAAAACGGTACCCTCCATCGTCAACTGGTGCTAAGTAAGACTCGTGTTATCACTTCCGGCGACTTGGCCCAACGTCTCGAGCGGCCCGCCGCCGTCGCCGCTCCGGTGATCCTCGACTGCCGGCCGTTTATACTGTACAACGTCAATCACGTGCGCGGCGCCATCAATGTCAACTGCTCGGATCGGTTCAATCGGCGCAGGCTGCAGCTGGGCAAAGCCACGCTCGCCGATCTCGCGACCGCCCGCGAGGGCAAAGAGCTGCTCAGGAAGAGGCAATTCAGGGAGGTTGTGGTGTACGACGACTGCACCGATGATCTGGAACATCTGCCCGCCCAGCACCCGCTGTTCCTGGTATTAGCCGCGCTTGTGGACGATGACCAAGAACCAGCCCTGTTGATCGGTGAGTGCTGTTTGATTTCTCTTCGTTCTAAGCTCGAGTCGATTCTATGAGTATTCGACGTATTCTATCTTGCATATGTTACCACGAGCGATTATGATCTTTGATATATTGGAATTTATTGGTGATATAGAGTTTTCTCGTAAAATTTAAAACACAAGAATTGTGGAATTATGTTGTAAGAGCGTTGAATCAAACGATGAAGATAAACGTAGCCTTCAATATTCGATATAGAAGGTATTATATGACACACACACTGTACAAACGTAAGGAGCATATTTCTGATTCTAAGTCAAAGTACACGGAGAAAATATAGTAAGAACTGGAATTATAACTGAAATTATCATGTGTGTTGTAATCTTAGTGATGAGTTCACATGAAATTCATCACTAAAGTTCACAGTACACATCATTCAGTTATAATTCTGATATGGTTAAGCATTACAAAATTTTTTAGTAATTTTTACTACAATCTTTTCTCCGCATAGAAAATGTTCTATATATATATATATATATATGACATGGATCCAATTTGAAACGGTTATCCATCTAAAGATGTTTATAGTATTTCTCATAAGTATTATTCATAAAGTATTATTCATAAAGTATTATTCATAAAGTATTATTCATAAAGTATTATTCATAGTTCTCATAAAGTATTATTCATAAATAATACAGAATTTTTTTGAACAATTTGTTAATTTTTTCTCTTTTGAATATTTTTTATAGTTTTTATGTCATCTTTCTTATTTTCTATTTTTAGTAATAAAGAATATTTCAAACAATTCTGCCATTATTTGGAAACTTTAAATCTCTCGATGTATAATTGTTTTGGCCTGTGTCAGAATATTTTTAATTCGATTTACATAAGAAATTTGAAATTTTTTAAGTTTGTGTGATACATCATATAACATCATATACAACACAATTTCATAACAAAAGAGTCATGAATTGAGTATAATTTTTATAGCATAATTAATGTTATGACGACACTCACCAGTGCTTAAGTTTATTGCTGCACTTGCTATAATTAAATTCTAGCTCCTCCTTATACTTGAGCTCAGTAGACTCTGGCGTTTGAGTCACCAGGTGCCTTCTTGTGTTATCGAATATGGTAACATACGATAGTGGCAACAACTGATAGTGGTAAGATAGCGATATCCGAAGATATAGGATGACCCACACATAAGCAGTATCTTAGATACATTTTTTTAGAGATAGTGGGGTTGTGAATTGTTTTATTTGAAAATATAGATAAAGCTCGCCAACTTTCTGGAAGCTGTCTCTTCAAGATTTATCGGGTCTTCTTCATCTTCTTCTTCTTCTTTTTCTTCTTCTTGCTCGTTTGAATCGTGGAGCCCCGGTTTTATTTTATTTCTCGCATTCGCGAGAGAGTTTATCTTCTCAGGTCATTAGACACTTCAACCCTCGTCTCTTTATCTGAACTTGTAATATATTGACGAATCCGTGAAATTTACAAGTAATAACAATGTAATTTCGGTCGGGTTGAAAATAAATCGTCATGATGGGACTCGCGCGCACATAAATTAGCGCTTATTAAAGCAGTTGGTCCGTCAAATCATTCTCTCAGGAATCCTTTTAAATTTTAGTTGTATATTGATGGAAGTATCATAACACATAAAGTAACACAAGTACATACACATAAAGTTATACAGCAAAGAACATTTTGTACTTGTGTTAAAATCGGTCCTTGTTAAAATTTTGCTATTAAATTTTTAATATAAAAATATGTTAATTTAACATATTATGTTTATGTTGTCTGAATATTTTTGTTGATATTCAACAATGTCGATATTCAACAGTGTGTAAGTGTTAAAATAACACTTGAAAGTGTTACAATAACACATTTTATATTTCAGAGTCGATTAACGTTATGGATATTAACATTGTGTTAATGTTTGACATAATATTTGTGTTACTTTTCAACATATTTATCTTGTGTTAAATTAACATAAGAATTTATATGGACCGTTTGGGACATGTGAAATGTGTTAAATTTTACAACAAAATTTTTACTGTGTAGATTGACTATTCGGAAACTGAGATAATGATCGTAATTAAATAGAGTACTTTTTAATTTTTAAGATTAATATCCTCTTTTTAACTTCTATTTTTAATTTCTTCTAAACCACATTTAGAGTTTTAATGAAAAATTACTGTGATACTGAGGGCTGATATAGAGATATATAAAAAAGATTAATTTATATTAAAATAATTTCAGGATTATTAACCATTTAGTTATATAAATATAGCTATAAAAAATTTGCATTTTATAACAATACCTAAGACATATGTACATACATATTTAATTATTTATATACCACTTTCTATTGTGCGTGCACCTTCATTAGCTCAATTGACGTATAAATAAAGCGTTAATAAGAAAAAATAAATAAATAATATCTCCGTGTTTGTAATATTGCGTGTGTATTTGTCTTAATTTCACTCAAAATTAAAATTCATTAATTAAATAAAATTACAGGAAAGTATGTTTCTCGGCAAATGATAAAAACTTAAACAGGGACATCTTGATATCGCCATTGAATATCCAACGGACCAACTATCTCGATTCCCGCCGGTCCGGTCCTCTGGTCATTTTTCTCTTGCAGCGCGGAATTTGTTTACAAAAGCGAAAAGGCCGCGAAACCCGGCACGTTGTTTGTCGTCGTCGTCGCCGTCGTCGTCTATCCGGTCCTCTACGTGGGAGTGAGACTCTGGTTTTCGGAAATAACGATGATGCGAGCGCGATATTTCTGCCGGCCGCCAATCGCGCGTCGAAACTTTTAAGCCGATCATTTTCTGCCTCTATTTTTGCCGCTCATCACGCGTTATTAATTCTTACTCACTCTCTCTCCCTCCATCGCCCCCCTTCGCTTTTCCTCCTCCTTACGGTGCGCTATTTTCAAATCGCGGTTTATTGTTTTGAATGCGCGCTCACGCGCGGCACGGACATTTTCTCTGGATCTCGGCTCATTTCGCTCCGTCGAGGAACTGCCACTATTCCCGAAAGGAAATTAAAACAGTGGGAGATCATCTGAGAAACGATGATCATATCGAGAGAGGGAGGAAGGAAAGAAGGGCTCGAGGAAAAGAGAGAGACCGCGTTTGGATGAAGATTATCCGTTCGAGTAGATCGCGCGGCGACGACGACGACGACGGCGACGACGTCGTCGTCGTCGTACTCGCATCGTCGGCGTGTACGAGGCGAAAGGTGGGGATCTATTCATAGGAGTGACTCACGTCGGAGATGACGCCGCGAATAGTCGGACAGATTTTGCGCGCCGCGATCTGCGCTTTCGCCGTGTTTTCGCGAAGCTACTTCGCGCAGGGCGGGCGAATTAGCGGGGACATTATGGCGGATTTGTTTAGAATTTGCGCCGTTAATTGCGCTCGAAGGAAACGAGCGACCGATATTTGCGCGCTCGCGGCGATTCGCTAAATGTGGTTATTACATGATTCGGACGCGGGCTGTGACGTAACGCCGACGATTGCGATAGCGATATCGCAGTGCTGTACGGCGACGAAACTCTTTGAGATCGACCTGAAAAAAAAGAAAAAAGAAACAGGAGAGCGAAGGAGTCGTGCAGGCGTGAAACGGGGATCTTTCAGCTCGGTTTGTGGAACAAATTTGTATCATTGGGTGTCTGGGTCCTCGGACTTTCTACCTGAGGGGATCGTGATTTCGGAATCTTTAAATGAAATCCGCGATTTCTCACGTATTTCCACTCGCATAATTGCTGATCTTGACACAAATCACAATTTATAAACACGATACTTACTCAATTCTTACTTCGAAAAATTGGAAAACGAATTTGATTGTTAACGAGTCGTCGAGAGTTGTCCGATTTAAGGATACAATGCGCGACATATTTTCAAAACAATAGCAAAAGTGTCGACTGGCAATATTGTAAAATTTTTATAATTTTTTTCCTTTTTTTTTCTAAAAATAAAAATTCGATAACGAACTAGGTTATTAACGAGTCATCGAGTTGACTGATTTAAGAATGCACTGCGCGACAAATTTTTTGAACAAGAGTGTGATGCCAATAATATTATTGTAACACTTTTATCTCTATTCTTCACCTTTTTCAAAGATGGAAATTCAACGACAAATTTGGTTATCAACAAATCGTCGAGTTGTCTCCGTTTGAAGGACACAGTGAACGAAGAAAAAATTTCGAACAAGAGCTAAAGTGTAGTAACAATTATGTTATTGTAATATCTTTACCATTCTTATCTTCTATTGCAGTATTCAGCGATGTATACGCCGGCGTCACCTTTGACGTCGGTGGTCTACGCTGGTTATTACATAATTAGTAACGATTCGCGGCCGCCTATAAACAACGAGACGGATCGCGTGGCTCGTTTTGGCGAGGCTAATGCGCGTCTGCTCCCGGCCGGCCCGATCGCATTTTTCTCGGACGACGACGACAATGACAACTACGACGTTGTTGAAAGCATGAGTCACCGTGTATATCGACCCTACGGCATGTTTACGCTGGCTAAGCGCACGAACAGCCATATGTCAAAATCACGATTGCATAACGTATCCCCTGCGTCGCGTCTCTCTATCTCTCTTGTGGATATTTAGACGTGAGTCAGGCTGGCGGATTACGAGATTTTCCTATTACTTCGACCTTAACCCTTCGAGGTGTGTGTGCGCCGTCGATTCTTCTACGCTAATCAGCTTCGGGAAAGTGCACGAAGATCAGAGAGAGATTATCGTCGTCGGCTGGAAAAGCAACCTTCATCCTCGCACGAGAGATCGTGCGTTAAAAAAAAACGCTCAACGTTTTTTGACTTGAATTGTTTCTGTTAATCGGTTAGGTTTGATAGCAATTTGATATTATATTTGTTAAGTAATTTAATAATATTAATTACTAAAATTTGATATTATTAATTATATCGATTGAAATTTGATATATAAACTACTGCTTAAAATGTGATATTATTAGCCATTATTAAAAGCTCGATTCAGAAAATATACCATCGACTGAATGCAAGATGACATTTATAATAGTGTCCGTCTAGCTGACGTCCCAACTATTTTCTTCTTTGCGCTCTAAAGATGCAACTTTGAAAGCTGTACCACCGGCTTAGAACTTGTATTTTAAGAATAAAACTTTTGCAGCACGTAACTGAGCTCTACACTCCGAGAGTTTCAAACTTTCCGTGTCTGTTACTCCTTTTAAAACATATGAATAGAATGAATGAATCTATCAGACCCTCACACGCAATACTTCTTTTTACGTAACAACGATATTTCATTTTTACAAAAATTTAATCCCGCGTAATAATTTATTATCATCGTACATACGGCAAAAAATTGTTTTTCGAGCGTTCAGAGTCAATAAATGAAGCCGTGGCCGAGGCTTAATGAATTAGTCATCGCTTTCAGCAGGAAGGGGGGTTGCTGTATTTTTTCCATTGTGCGCTTTTCCATCCCCTGCGCCGTTTAAGGGTGCGACGACGAGAAGGAGGAAGAAGGAGGTCTAATCGAGGGGGAGCACGCTTCAGAACGTACGACGCATCTGGATCAGCTGTCGATGACGATTATTACGTATGAGTCATCCGATACAGGCTCGCTTTAAAATGTATCAATGACTAACGCGCGTCCAGCTCACAATCGGGCCCGTCTCCTCGCCCTTCGGCTCCCTTTGTGCGGCGTGATTCAAGTGTGCATTAAATCGCGATAAAGGATCTAAACTCACGGGCTGACTTCATACGCCGTGTATTGTGAAGCTCGCGGAAAAAAAGAATAATAATAAGCAGCGAAGAATTAAAAGCTCTCTCTTGAGCGGCGATTCGCGGTCGCACTCGAGAATTATCGAGGACGCGAGATTGCCGTGCCGGGGAGATACTAACTCGAGTAGTGCGATCGGTCGATTCGCTCCACGGTCGATGCCTCGCACGAGTCTTTCGTACGTGCCATCGCAATCTTGTCGTCGACTCGAAAATGCCATCGCGGGCACGCTCGCGACTTCGATTCCTATTTACACGCTGCGGCGCCGCGCAGTTTCGCCATTGCGAAATCGCCCGCGCGTTTCCGCGTGCTTTTCGTCGGAGATCGTACGCAAACGGTGTGTGTATTGACGCTTAATCATGCGACACGTGTCACAGCGCGGAATACTGTTTGCAGGTTCCCACCCGACGCGTTCGCACCTCTATCGCACTCCGTGCGAGCCGAATCTGCATTTACGCGACATTTTTGACGACAACGCATCCCGGGACGCGCTGTGCAATGAAGGAACGTGCAAAGAGCCCGCCGACGCATGGACCTCCCGAATTTAGAGGCCGAAATTTTTGCGGATATGTCGATTTGAGAAGTACGATCGTGGGGGATCCAAGGTACAAAAATCTGAATCGTCGAAGAATTAAAGACTGTGAGAAGGAGGATGACCCGGTACTATTTGAATATTAACATTAATCATATTAATATTGACAGTGAGAGAATGAGATTGTCCATCGTGTGTATCAGGAACCTGCCGAAAACTCGATCGTGTAACGAACGCCTTTCCACGAATGAATCGATCCTAAAAATTTGAATCCCCATGACTTTCTGTACAGACGAACTTTCGTGCAGTTCTCTCTCTCTCTCTCTCTCTCTCTCTCTCTACCCGACAACAAATCTCGAAATTTAAGGTCTGTTGTCATCTCACGCGAGAAGAGCCGCCGTGCCATTTGAATAACAATAGGCGACTAGAAGACACGGAATATATGAAACGTAAGACTCGCGTCAAACTCGAGCGGCGTTATCCTCCGTTGAATCTTGACGAAGTCGGGGCGCAGCATCTTGCAGACGACGTTTCTACACCACGACATTGTAATACGGTACCAGGTTGGGAGCGTTAATCGGCCATCGCAAGCAGCACATTCAGACGGTCGTTGACTTGAATTCCCTCTGAAAATATCGGATACGAGAGAAGGCGAGGAAGACGGACGCGCAGCCACAGCAAGAGCGAGCGACAGAGGGGGAGAGAGAAAAGAAAGAAATGAGGGTCAGGCGGGGTTATTAGCGCGAGATGAATCAGCGCGAGCACGCGGACAAGACAAAACGAGCGACCGTGCGTCCTTCGAACTCGTCGGAATTTCCTTGAGACTGGACGAGAGTGAGCGAGCGAACGAGCCAGCCATGGTTTCCTACTACGCTTTACGGATGAGTCAGTCGGTCGGCATGATTCCGCGGGTTATTCGTGGCGGGAGCGGAGACAGCGTGTACGCTCCCAGCCTAAAATAAAGCCCAGCCAAGTCCTCACAATCGGACGTCATCTCCGCGCGTACTCGGATCAACCCTTAGAACCGCCGGAAGCATCGACGGTTTAATGAATTCACCAGGCGTGCTGCACCGACATCCATCATCGTCGCGGTACATGCGTATTGAACTCTCTCCCTCTCGTATTGACGTCCCGAGACAGTAAAAAAGGTCATTTCGCGCGCAAAATACGTAAACGATTCCTTGGAAGTGTGACGGCGGCATTGTTGCCCGCGCGACATTGCGCAACTCTATTGCACGCTCTTACTTTCGTCCACGGTTTACATTCGGCTGACGTGACACGACAGGCCCGTAACGGCGCGGTTACCGATAACAGGATACTTCCCGAATTCGGCCGACTAATTGCAAATACGTCTATGCACTCATCCTTAGTCATAGCGAGCCTCGACAGAGGCTCCATCCGACATCGGTGACGTCATATCTATTGACCTGACGTCACCGTAAGGCTTCACGGAAAAAGAGTATCGCACTGATTCGAAGATTGCCGGTAATCAACGGAAAGAAAACAATCCGCCGTGTCGTTCGAAACCGCCAGTGATGATGAGAGAGGCTAGGAATCTTCCGAATCAGGTGATTCTTGGGAAACGCGGCAGTGTGCAAGAGTCGTTTACGTTTCGAATGACGAAGCAGACTAGAATTC